CTGTCTGCGGCACTGTCTGCAGTCAGCCACAATTTGGGAGAGGTGCAGCGGAGACTGCGGAGGGGGCGGGGACATTGACACTCTGGAGCCGAGGTATCGCATTGCACTCATTGCACTGATTTTGTACAGTATTTTTAGTAGTTTTCGTGAATGAAACAAGACTAAATAAAAAAGTTAGCATGTGATCAGTAGTATGGCTCTTTCTGCTCTCGCTCCTTAATAAACTATATGTGGCTGATCATCTTCTGCTAAGCCTAAAACATCCTTTTCTCTAACTATTAAGATTGTATTTCTGCCAGCTCTGAGTCTGTTCAATCTGTTCTCTTCCAGGAAGAGGTGATGCAAAGCCATCTTTACTTTCTACCAAAAGCAATCCCTAAATCATATCCAAAACAAACCGTTGCATACTGTATATTTTTGGATAAAGACCTAGATCCTTTTTTCGAGTAATACAGAAATTATTGATCTGTGTATAATGCATAATTCATAGTGGCTTAGGAAGTGTTTGCTTTGGGATAGAAAGCTTGTATGTCTAAAACCATTCCTTTATTGGACATTTTGTTAGCTTGTCTGTTTGCTATATTAACTGATTTGATGTGTTGAACTAGATCTGCTATTTTCACAGCTTTTGTGAGACACTTTTGAATAAAGTAGAGCATTCATTCATAAAGTCTTTTCAAATTCTATAATCCAAGCCCAACAGTGGGCACGGCAGCATTTTATCTTCAGAAATGTTATGATCTAGGCTAGACCTAGCACTCTGGTAAATAATCTGGTTATTATTTGAAATTATAAAGGTTTACTCTTTTTTGAAGTGAAACATAAAACTGACTGGAAGCTGACTAAAACTATCACATCATAATGCCTAAAATGTCATTAAAACTAATAATATTTGTCGTCCTGAAGATGAAAACTAAGACCCTCTAAATATAAGATGCCTTTCAGAAACAACAATGTCTGCAACCTGACTGTAGCTCCAGATAAAGTGCCTGTAAAAGTTGGCCAACTCAAGAAATCTTTGTTGTTTTCTATCAGTGCGTGTGGGCCAACCAGAGCTGTCGGGTGGAGCCATTGTGCGCAGCTCCAAGCCAACACCAAAGGTTCCCACAGCTCTGAAACTGTTATAGAGATCTGAAATGTTCTGCATTTGTGGTTGACATGATGTAAAACAATTATAATACAATAAAACCTGCTTTTTCTCAAGAATGTCTTTATTACTGCTGTTTAAAAAAGACGTATAATTTCCGAGAATAAAAAAACAACTTTGAGTCATGTTTGAACTGATGCAGGTAGGTCTGTGTTCTAGTCACCCAATTTTAATTTGTTGTTACCTTTCAAATAATGTATTAAACATGTAATTTGGGCTTACAGTTCCTAAGCTATTTGCTTTTCCATTTGGGTATGCAAAATAGGCGAGGATTACCCAAAATGAGGTGGATGTTAAGAGATTAACCTTTGCAGGATCCATTGTATCCATCTGTTTTGGGGAAATAATAAAAACAAAGGAATGAAGCGGTGGAAACATGGACATCCAGCTGGTTCTGAAGAAACCTGAGCAGGACCAATCTGACACGCTGCTCATGTGACTTTAAGTCTTCACAATAATGTCGCCCAGATAAACCAACATATTTTCCTCCTATTTCTCTTAGAACGTCATTGACTAAACCTTGAAAAACAACCATGCCGTTGGGGAGTCTGAAAGGCCTGACCAGATACTCTCTGTCCAGTAGGTGTGTTTAAGGAAGCTTTCCATTCAGCTCCTTCTCTGATGCCAACCACATGGTACGGAGGTCAAGTTTTGTGAAGATGTTTTCGCCCTGGATCTGTTCAAAAGCAGAGTTAATAAGAGGCATTATGTTATTATTATGAGTGAAGTCATTTAGTCCTCTGTAATCGTTGCAGGGGTGAAGAGAGCCATCCCTCATGCTGACGAAGAAGAAACTGGCTCCAACAGTAGAAGAAGGACGAATAATACCAATGAATCATCAGTATAGGTCTTCATGTCCTGAGTTTCTGGTAATAAGAGAGAGTAGTCTGCCCCTGGGGGTTGGACGGTCAAAAGGACGACGAGGATGTAGAGCAGGGGTGCCCAACCAGTCGATCGCGGTCTACCAGTCGATTGTGTGTGGAGTTTCAGTCGTTTACGAGAAGTTTTACAATGTAGACCTATTTATGGCTATGACAAAAAAAAAAGTTTTAAAAAACACTAATCGACACATTGATCACGAGAGGCGAAAGTGTATTTTCATAATAATAAAATTAAAAATAAAAAGTATGCAGGGAACCTTTTTTTATGCATGCTGATTGCTGGGCATGGTTTGCCACGGTTGCTGGGTTGTTACCAGGGACCTAAAGCGTGAAGAGGAATCTGAAGAGATAATGAGATAATGAAATCTATCACAACTGATGGGGCTCTTTGCTCTGTTCAAGCTGTCTGAAATTTTCCCGGATTTTTGAAACTACCGCTGCATCATTCATCAACAACAGCTGTGCCGCAATATTTTAAATATGAAACATGTCATGGACGTTGCAATGAAGATCGCTTGCTGTGTTCGAGCCGGGAGTTTTCAGAGGCGTTTATTCCGTGCCCAGCTCCAGAAAGCAGGTGCAGACCTTACTGATCTGCTGCTGCACACCGACGTCAGGTGGCTGAGCCTTGGCAGATTCCTCAAAAGATTTTTGGAACTTTTGCCCAAAATTAAAAAGTTTCTGAAACAGTCAACAACCCATTCTACTGTATGTTACATTTTCACATCCACATATTTTGTACTCAGTATTTTCCTATTTTTATCTGTTTTCCTGTTGAATTTTAATCCATCTGCCAGTTTCTCTGCCAATGCCAATGACAGGAGGCCGACTGTTCGCATTGCCAATGCCAATGCGAACAGTCTCAACACTATAAATTTACAGTTGAAACGTTTTTTTTTCCATCTCTACTGGACTGTGTTTGTGTATCAATTGGTTTATTTAGATTTTTTGACTGCACAGCCTTTGTCTGGAGATCTTGACTGCTCTTTTCTATAGTTTTTAGTGTCTGATGAGTGAGTGAGGGTGAGAAAGAGAAATGGTGTGAAGTTCTTATGAGATTGTTCTGTTTTTGCAACCTATTTTTTGACACAACTGATAATTTCCTCGTTTGTTGGACTTACTGTTTATTCTCCACCTCTGCAAATAAAAAAACAAATACTGCCCATCCCTTGTTTGGCTTGGTAGGTCTCGGCATGCCATCAACTTCAAAAGTAGATCTTGGTTTAAAAAAGGTTGGGCACCCCTGATGTAGGTGATGGCTTTGGTTTAATTAAACTTCTCTCTCAGATCATGGTACTCAGGTCGAACTTCAGACAGAATCGGGAAAATCTCTTCATCCTTCTGAGGAGCAGATAAACAGTTCTCTGAGCATGTGGGAGCCCAACCCACGACTTCTACCTTCTGCCAGTCAATCTAAGGGTTATGCTTCTCAAGTCATGTAATTCCAATAGAAAGTATTCATAGATCAGTACTTCTATGTCCATTTTCTGTGTCTGCTTCTGTCTCCTTGAACCCCAGTCGGCCTTAGCAGACGGCCGCTCACACTGAGCCTTGTTCTGCTGGAGGAGCAGGGAGTTTTCCTCTCTACTGTCGCTGCATGCTTGATGTGAGGGATGCAAAATGAAGGTGAATATCTGCTGTCTCCACTTTCCTTCAATGACTGGAACCAATCAGCTGGTTTTCCTTGGAAAACTTTGATCCAATCTGACTGGATGATCTGGTTGATCTCTATCTATAAAGTGCCTTGAAATGACATGTTGTGATGCTAT